ACCTGCGTTTTTATTGAACACCTGCGTTATTATTGATCACCTGCGTGCAAATCTATAAAAAAAAACACCTGCATTTAATTGAACATCTGCAATAAGGAACACTTGCATTAATTGAACATCTGCGTTTTTATTGAACACCTGCGTGAAAATCTACAAGAAACACCTATGTTTAATTGATCACCTGATTGAACATCTGCAATAAGAAATCCTATAGTAATCTCATACAAATACATTAGATATACAGTGAAACCTCGCTATAAATCCGTTCCAAAATTTCCGGTTTTTGACTCGTATAGTGAATTGCTCCTACAGTGAAACACGTTTTCCCATATGTAATGTAATGTAAATTACGATAATGCGTTCCATGCCGAAGAAAAATGTATAACTTGGTCTCGATTTTTCATAATTTTGCTTTTCATATCTATGATTCTTTTGGCTTTTTATTCAAAGACATGCAAGTGTTATTAAATTTTGCACCAAAAAAACACACAAATAACATGTCTGAACATAAGTTTGGAAATGTTGTGATCACAAACAACACTAAGATGTAACTAGAATGACCACTAACACTAGGAACTGTTTTCCAATTCACGCACTTATTTGAGCGAGTATATATTTATTTATATTACTTGTATCAATTCGAGGGAGTCTATATCGCAAGGCCGACAACGAAAAGACCGTCTATTGAAATCCCGACAACCATAATCCCGACTATATCAAAATCCCGACTGTATCAAAATCCCGACTATATCAAAAAAATTTACAATAACATTTTTAAATGATTTCGGAGCGTACTCACCTTGTGCTACACTTTTATTATTAATAACAATAAATTATTATTAATTTATTTGATTTTGTTGAATTAATCATAATAAACCTTAACATTATGAAGTAATCTCAAATACAATTAAATTATTAATTGTTATAATTTATTATTAATTACAATTTAAAAGTCACTACGCTCTAGAATAATTTAAAAATATTATTGTAGACTTTTTCGATATAGTCGGCATTTTGATACAGTCGGTATTATAGTTATCGGGATTTTAATATTGTCGGGATTTTCATATAGTCGGAATTATGTTTGTCAGGATTTCGATACAGTCGGGATTTTGATATAGTCGGGATTTCGATATAGTCGGAATTATGTTTGTCAGGATTTCGATACAGTCGGGATTTTGATGCAGTCGGGATTTTGATATAGTCGGAATTTCGATACAGTCGGAATTTCAAACGTCGGGAATTTGATTGACGGTATTTCGGTTGTCGGTCTTGCGATTGCCACCGAATTCGGGGACATGTTGGAGGTCTCTTTATACTTTTAATATTTGTTTATATAAAGAAGCGTACATAGTGTGTTTATATAATATAATAATGGATACACATAATACATTTGTGTTTTGCATTTACAGCAAACACAAATTATATTTGCAAAGTACAAAGATTACAAGATCGAAGATATTTAATATATTCAAAAATACACGCACAATCCGGGACTTCTCTTCTCATCGTCACTCGTTATGTGAAACATCGCTCGTTTTCTTACAATTCATTTTGCTCGTTAAATGAGGTTCCACTGTATTTCCATTTTCGCATAAGAAATACAAATGTTACGAAAACGCGATACAATTTTTATACATTTCCGTTTGCACAAAACTGTCCTTTTATCAAAAAAAATATTACATTTTTCTTTTGTACGTTCTAATTGTTACGTTCGTGAACTCTTTCCGAACGACATCCAACTTTTACATTAAACCCATTATCGATCATAATCAAAACAGTCTTTAAGCCGCAAATGGATGGAAAAAAAGGTGGCGACACATTAAACAGTTATCAATAATGTATTCACTAATGCGCTATAGTTTTCGGGGGATGAAACAGTTCAGCAAATGAAATTCGACTCTTTTCTTCTTTTCTTCGCAATTTTTCTTTTCTTTCCGTTTCGTTCACGAGGGGTGAATTGAAATTGCAGACGCGCCCCGCATCATTTTCGGCTTTTTCCTATTTCGCGTTTGCTATTAAAAACGCATAGGAAACTAGTTATCTAAATGCTGGTGTTTGCTTCTTGGTTTTCTCCTTCTTTTCGCGCGAGACGTTGAGGATAAGTGGAGAAATTTTATTCCCGGCGCATACGCCACTTGTTGGGGGATTTCATCGCTTCAGACTTTACACGTTCTTTATTTCCAGAGAGAGAGAAATCGCGCTCGATTTCTGTCGTCGCGCGTTTTGCATCCCCCATTTTTTCGTACGCATAAACAGAACGGAACATTCGCAAATCGTGTTGGTTAGAAATGTAGAATCATAGAACATTATTGCTCTCGACAAGTGTGCGTTTCCATATCTCCCTGTTTATTTTTTGTTTTGTTTTTGAAGTTGTTTGATTATTTTAGTAATTGATCGAGGTCATCTCTATTTGCAGATAGAGAGAGCATCGTGCATGTTTGTGTTTGTTGAGATATTATTTACATTCGATAACGCAATTAATCACTGCCCATACAGAGAGAGTACGGTGTGCACTTAACATCTTCATTGCAAACGTTCCAACAAGTGGACCATTAACTGTCACGCTCCTCGATCCGCTCTGCTTCCATTACCACTTTTAATCGTCATCCCCTAATTGGGATCGAGTTTCGCCGGTGCTGTGAAGGCAGAAATACAGTTCTTCTGCCGGCACAATAAAATTTACACTCTAGTTGCGCTTTACAATTCCTCTCCTATAACGAAAGCAAAAAAAAACAACATAGAGAAGAAAAAAAGAAACACGTCTTCCTTTCGTACCGTAATTAAATCCCGAACGATTCAGCTCTAGAATTTCCATCTCTTCCAATTCCATTCACCACAAATTAAACCGAAATATTAAATGTGACAAAACTACATCCATATAATATTATTAATACATTTACATTGATGAGGTGATATCGAATTTAGCAATTTAATGCTGGGCCGAATTCAATTTTGCTTCTTTTTTTGATGAACAATGCACAACTAATTATTTATGGACACGCTCATTTCCGTGATGAATAGTAAAATTATCTGTTGGTGGTTTCGACACCGGAAATCGAACAATAAATGATGTGGTGTGGATTCGATGGCGCGCGCCTAATGCCTCTTAAAAGGGCCACCAAATCGCATAAAAAACGTTATGATATTCTTAGTGAATTTCTCGTATGAAAGCTGAATGTCTCACCTTTCCAATGAGCCTACTGGCATCTTTGTACTGCCGCCGAGTCGCCTGCTATCAGCTGTAGAAATTTGCAAAAAAGTGAATAGAATTTACCCAAAAACTAGATTTTCGTTAATAACTCGAAAAGTAATAAACTTTTCTATGATTTTATTGCATAATCAGATGCACGCAAGTATTGCGCAACTTTCTATGTAACAGAAGTTACGTAATGTTCGTTACGTAATAGAGAAACGAAGTTTTTTCCCTATTTTTTTCAGTTTTTCGTGAATATCTCGACAACCCCTATAGATAATTACATCATCGATCACTCGTATGAAAGTTGAATGTCTCACCTTTCGAACGAGCCTGCTGGCATCTTCGTACTGCCGCCGTGTCGCCTGCTATGAGCTGCAGAAATTGAAAAAAAAGTGAATAGATTTACCCAAAAACTAGATTTTCGTTAATAACTCGAAAATAATAAACTTTTTTATGATTTTTTTGCATAATCAGATGCACGCAAGCGTTGCACAACTTTTTATGTAACAAAACTTACGTAATGCTCGTTACGTAACAGAGAAACGACGTTTTTCCCCTATTTTGCTTTAGATAATTACATCATCAATAACTCGTATGAAAGCTGAATGTCTCACCTTTCCAACGAGCCTACTGACATCTTTGTGCTGTCGTTGAGTCGCTTGCTATCAGCTGTAGTAACTGGAAAAAAGTGAATTGGATTTACCAAAACATGGATTTTCATTAATATCAATAATAATATCAACATTTTAGGTTAGGTTAGGTTAGGTTAGGTTAGGTTAG